CGCTTCACTTGGATTTATTTGCTTAAACATAAGTCTAATGTTGAGCAAGTCTTTTATAACTTTCAGGCTCATGTCGAACGCCTTTTGGATTGTAAAATCAAGGCTGTTCAGTCCGACTGGGGTGGTGAATACCACAAGCTTCATTGCTACTTTCAACGCACGGGCATCTCCCACCGTGTGTCGTGTCCACATACGTCTCAGCAGAACGGTATTGCCGAGCACAAACACCGTCACTTGGTCGAGACCGGCCTCGCCTTATTGGCGCATTCATCTCTCCCGCTCCGGTTTTGGGATGAGGCCTTTCTTACGGCATGTTATCCCATCAACCGTATGTCCACTCCGGTTCTCAACAAGGACACGCCCCTGTTCCGTCATTTCATGTTCAGCCCAATTATTCCTCTCTTCGAATTTTTGGGTGTGCTTCCTGGTCTAGTCTCCGCAAGTATAATGCTCACAAGCTAGAGTTCCGCTCCAAGATGTGTGTTTTCCTTGGTTATAGTCCTCTGCATAAGGGCTATAAGTGTCTTGATCGCACCTCCGATAGGATCTACATTTCTCGTGATGTTGTTTTCGACGAGTCAGTTTTCCCTTACTCCAGCCCGGGTGTCTTGGTTGATTTTGCTTCTATTGAGCATGCCCTCACTTTTCCATCTAATGAACCGGTTTCGGGTGTCCATGTGCGGAAATACGACCTGTCATATTTGTCACCTGACTTGTTTTCTGCAGATGCTGCTCTAATTTCTTCCCAGGAAACGGTCGCCGCACCTGAATCCGCCGACGTGATCGACGTGCATGGCCCCAACGTGCATGCCCTGTCTCTCGAGGCTGCCTCGCCGGCCTCGCCCGCTGGCACGACCGCGGGCCCGACTGGGTCGCCCGCTGCGTCCCCCGTCTCGCCTAGGCCGGCCCAGCCCGCCTCACTTGCGTTGGGCGTTGCCGGGTCGCCAGCCGCGTCCCTTGGGCTGCCGTCCACGCCTGGCTCCCCCTCGTTGCCTGATTCGGCCCAGCCCGACGCGTCTCCCCGGCCTGTGTCGCCAGTTGCTGAAAATGGTTCAGCCGCGACACCACTGGTCGGGTCTCCGTCGTCGCCGCCATCATCTGCCGACGATGCAGCTCCCGGGCACACCATGGTCACTCGTCAATGTGATCATACGCGTAAGGCCAAGACAAACACGGATGGCACGGTGCGGTACGACACTCATCGCCGTGCATTCTTTGCCGCACCCACTACTCATCGTGATGCTCTTGATGAACTGGCTTGGCGCGCCGCCATGTCTGCGGAATTTGCTGCTCTTTGTCACAAGAACACATGGGTGTTGGTGCCTCGGCCTCCTGGTGTTAATGTTGTGAGCTGCAAGTGGATCTTTAAGACCAAGCATCGTCCGGATTGTTCGGTTGACAAGCACAAAGCTTGCCTTGTTGCTCGTGGTTTTACTCAACAGCAAGGGATCGACTATGGGGATACCTTCAGCACCATGGTGAAGCCTGCCACGGTTCATTTGGTCCTCTCTCTCGCCGTCTCCCGCGGGTGGAGTCTTTGACAGATTGATGTGAGTAATGCTTTTCTCCATGGTTTTCTGGCCGAAGATGTCTACATGCAGCAGCCCCCTGGTTTTGAGGATGCTCGTTATCCCTCTCATGTCTGCAAACTCCAGAGGTCCATCTACGGGCTCAAACAGTCGCCGCGTGTCTGGTATGCTCGGTTGAGTCAGCGGCTCTCACAACTTGGTTTTGTTCCCTCCAAGGCAGATGCGTCCCTGTTCATCTTTTCACATGGTGCTATTCAGATATACATGCTGGTGTATGTTGATGATATTGTGATTGCTGGTTCTACACCTACTGTGGTGGATCGCCTTGTGATGTCCTTGTCTGCGAGTTTTTCCATCAACGACTTGGGCCGGTTGGAGTACTTCCTTGGTTTGGAAGCGTCCTTTCATTCAGGGGGCATGACATTGACGCAGAAGGAAGTATGCACTTGATCTCCTTCATCGCGTCAGCATGGAGAACTGCAGGTCCACTTCTGCTCCACTTGCTACATCCGAGAGCCTTTCACGTCACAGTGGTGCATTGGTGAGTACTGATGACTCTTTCAGGTATCGCAGTGTAGTTGGAGCGCTTCAGTATCTGACACTCACTCGTCCAGATATCTCCTTTGTTGTGAACAAAGTGTGCCAGTTTCTGTCTCAGCCTACGGAGGTTCATTGGGAAGCAGTTAAGCGTATTCTGAGGTATGTCAAAGGTACGCTAGACACGAGACTACGGATGCGTTAGTCCAGATTTACTGGAGTCAGTATATTCACCGATGCAGACTGGACAGGCTGTGTTGATGACAGGCGTTCTACTTGTGGCTTTGCTATATTTGTTGGACCCAATCTTATATCTTGGAGTTCCAAGAAGCAGCCTACAGTCTCGAGGTCTAGCACCGAGGCAGAGTATAAGGCATTGGCCAATGGCGCGACTGAAGCCATTTGGATAGACACAGTTCTCACAGAACTTGGAGTCACACGGCAGAACACACCCATATTGTGGTGTGATAACTTAGGGGCAACTTACCTGACGGCGAATCTAGTGTTTCATGCTTGGACCAAACACATTGAGATTGATTTCCATTTTGTGAGGGAACGAGTAGCTGTTGGTAAACTGGAAGTCAGGTTTATCTCAACTGGTGATCAGCTAGCGGATGTATTTACTAAACCCGCTACTCGACAAATGCTAGACCGTTTTAGAACCAATCTGAATCTTGTATGCAGTTCAGATTGAGGGGGCATGTAAAATAGGGTCTAGCATATTGTACATGTACACGTATTTGTATACGTATGTAACTGTACTATGATCATCTATGTAAAGAGACGTGAGGCTGAATGTTAGCCACCCACGCAAAACCCTAAACCTACCTCTTTTACTTTGCACCCTCTCATTGCTGCCCACCACGGCCCTGATCTCATCTTGCACTTTCTTCAACAGGGGTGGTTTCCGGATCAGCTCTGCAATCGCCCATAGGATCGTCACCGAGGCCGTGTCCGATCCACCAATGAAGGTGCCCTGCATGCATCCACGGCGGTCGTCAGTTAGTTGATCTTTTCTTTTCCTTGATCAGGACAAGATGTAGAGGCAATTAATATAACGTACAAAGATTATGCCCTTGACGTAGTCTCTTGTGATGTTGAAGGTGCCACGGTTATCCTTCCAGAGGCTGATGAGGCGGTCGACGAGGTCACCATTGTGAGGCTTGACGCGCCGAGGGTCAAGATGCTGCTCAATGATGATCTCGTAGATGATATCGAGCTGCTTGAAGATCCTCTCACGACGAGCGGTGAGGCCGGTGATTCGGTCGACTAGGCGTCCAATGATGTTGGGGAAGTAGTCCCCGGTGGAGAAGCTGGCCTGTACGTGTGTGGCCTCCTCGAGCACGTGCTCCAAGTTCTTGTGGTGTGGGAACTTGTCGCTGTTGTACATGTCGCCAAACCCAAGCATGCCGATGATGCCGTCGGCGAGGCTGAAGATGTGCTCCTTGAGCGGTACCGGCTCTCCGGCCAAGCCGCTCAAGGTGCTCATCAGTTTCTCCACCTGATCATGAATACAATCCATAACTATATGGTCTTCGATCGAGCATTCACATTCATTCCAAATTAAATAGTAGTGGCCGTACCTGGTACTGGCGTGCGTGCCACGCGGCCTTGACGTGGCGCACGCCAAAGAGTTCGACGACAAGGAACTTGCGCATGGCGTGCTAGTAGGCGCCGTTGAGGCCGTAGGACAGCCGTTTCATCCATTTGCTGAAAGACCGATCGAGATTGCAGGCACATGCTAGATATTTGTTCAGACATTTTTTTTATCTCTAAAGTTGTTGATCATGTGGCCATTTTTTTTGTGCACGCTTTGATATGTAATGTTTGTTTGCTACCACTATCTAGTCAGGCAATGGTTCGGAAATTGATCGATCAAGATACATCTTGATTTATATTCACTCTTGCTGCAAGTGGCATTAGGTGCACACAGATTGGTGGAGATTCGAGGCACATGCTAGATGCTTGCCAAGGGACTATCATCTACTCCTGCCTATTAAATTATTAAAATAGAGAAACACGAGTCAGTTTCCTAAATTACAGTGCTCGGACTTTTCCCCCTTCCCCTCGCGTCGCTCCCGCGAGCGACCGAGGGGACTCACCCGCCGCCGGCCTCTAGGCCTCCTCCTCCACCTCCTTCCCCTCGCCGCCGCCGGTCTGCGCCGCCGGGCAAAGCCCGGTAGGTGCTGGCGGCGGCGGGGCCTCGTCTCTCCCTGGTGCGGCGGAGATCGGAGCGGGCCGGCGTCCGTGGAGGCACGCTGCTGGACCGGGGCGGCGCGACATCTGGGCGGCTCGGCGGCGCCCTGGGCTTCCTTGGCGGCGGGGTGGGCTCTGCTCTTGGTGTGGGAGGGCCAGCGGTGTTCTGTGGCGGCGGGGTGTGCTCGGGGTGGTGGCGAGGGAAACAAGGACAACGAAGGCTAAAGTAAGATTTAATCCGCAGCAGCGGCCCCCAGCTGCAGGCAAGGTTTT